TTGATGAGTTCCGCAAAACAGTAGCTAGCTGGGAATGAGTTGTTACAAGGGCTTTAATCTTCTTAAAGGATGCAGCAACAGATATTGGCGCTATATTGGAAACAAAGAACAATTTTAGTCTAAAATAACCTTTTAAAAACCAGACAGGTGGTCAAACCGGTGAGACTTCCCGTTTAAATGGTATGAATGTCAATAAACTAGTTCTAGTCTAAAACTTTTTTCTCAATATCGGAAAGAAGTCATACCATAACCTTCAGGATCCTTGTTGATGAATCTCATGAGATGATCCGTCGTGGCCAAGTTCAAATCACTAAAGTAGTATTCAACCTGTTAGATTGTGGTGTTTTACATTAAAGAAAAATTGCAATGGGAAATGACAGAGGAGAAGGCCGCAATGAGAAAATTGGTAATAGTCTAATAGCTATGGTTAAATTAAATTCACGAAGAAGCTGACAACATCAGTCCAGCATTTAACTAATCTTAGAATTAGATTCTAGAATAAAGCACAAAGAAATTCAAGCAGAATAATCAAAGAAGGAATAAGCACAAGCAATTGAAGAAACACATAAAGAAGACAAGAATTAGAAAAAAGTAGCAAAAAGCGGCAGAAGAAACATTGTCTAGTGATGCTAGGGACCTGATTCAAAATCTTTAACGCAGCTTCTTCGGATGGTCCCTTTTTGGAGGAAGCTGTATCATGATCCTTGTGCTCCTTCTGATCTTTCCTCGCAACAGCTTCCGTTTCTTGCTCTCGATGATGATGGTTGTGGTAAGGACTAGGGTGATGGTTTCGCATGGATATGTGATGGTGAACTGGAACCAAGTGAGGTGGCACAGGCACGGGGAGGTGAAAACCCGTGCCCGGCAGTGCAGGATGAGGAGAATACACGTGCATCATGCCAGGGGGTGGAGAAGGAGGGATCATCATCCTCAGACTTTGCTGCTGCTGCTGCTGATGATGATGATGATGAGGCGTCGTGCGAGTAGGCACGAATTCAGCAGCTTGGGCGTTGAGACGGCTGGATGACAAGCTCCTCGATAGTTGTGGATCTGAAGAAGAAGCGGATGATTGCGGAGAATCTAGGGTTTCCGACAGGGCCATGATTTGGGGATAATCGAGATTTTAGAATTTGCTATCTTTTCTTATTGTAACTTTTTATTTATTTAATTTTTTTTTGGGGGGGGGGGGGGATACAGTAAATAGAAAAATGGGTAGACAGACCGAAGAGGGTGTAAATCTTTGACTACGTAGTGTTTACTGGCTGCCGTGAGTGGGAGTTAGAGGACCCTGCCTGCGAGAGGGGAGAAAGCGAGGCTAGGCCGAGGGTAGATGACAACGGAGAGGATTTCTCGGCCTTTACTAAACCTTCATACTGCCGTATTTATATCCACCAGCAACTCTAAGTACGTTCATTACACGAATGATGATTTTGGTTTACGGAATGTAAGATTATCAGTAGAAATAAAAGATTATTAGGTAATAAGATTACTGAGAATTTTATATTTTGTGTTTGATTGGTTTAGCAAGAATATAAGATTATCGTGTTTAGTTAAAAGAATAAATGATTATTGGAATGTATATTTAACTAAATTATCCTTATTATATATTTATTTTTTTAATAAGTTAGAAAATATTTATATATTTTATTTTAAAAAAATTAAATTCATAAAATTTATATAATTTTTTTATAAAATTAAAAATATAAAAAAGTTTAATGAAAGGGTAAAATTTTATTTTAATCCCTGAACTTCATATAAAATTTTAAATATAGATTTTTTTTTTGTAAATCTAAAATAGTTTAAGGATAAATTTATAATTTAACCTTCGTAGAATTTTTATTATTCAATGACAGAATAAGAATATTTTTTAAAGAAAAAAATTTTAAGGGCGTTTTAGTCCAAAACGCCTGTAATCCAACAATACCTAAGGAAAGGGAGGTAATGACATTCTCGGTAATATACCCTAAAAAATTTACTATTGGTAATGTAAGATTACCGGGAATGACATTCACGACCAACCAAACGGGAGAATGTGGATTCAATTCCCATTGAGATCTCACATTCCCCCAACTAAACACACCCGAAAAGTTCCCCCCCCCCCCAAAAAAGAAGGCATCAAGGCTCCCTACATCTTTGAAGAAAAACTAATATGATTTTCGAATGCTTTTTCTCTCGACCTTGTTCTCTAATTTAAAAAATAAATTTAATATGATCTTTTAATTAATATTTTTTATCGTTGACCGTTGTAGTATTGGTGTATTAGTTCACAGTTCTGACCTGATTGTCCATGGTACTGACATGACAGTTTATCTGTCATGTCATCTGCCAGGTTAATCTGTTGTCACCACATCAACATCGTAGACCACCACATCATCACCGTAAACTGTCACATCAATATCTTAATGGTCATCAATGTAAAACATTGATTAAAGAGTCACATTTATTTTATTTTTTGAGTTATAAGGTCGTATAGAAAGAAAATTAATATGAAGGGTCATATTAATTTGTTTTTAAAGTACATGCTATTTTTTGGGTAAACTACTTATATAGTAACTAAATTATAGAAATAATTCATTTTATACCATTAGCATATGAAATTTGTCAATCAGATCATTTGATCATTAAAATGGTATAAATCAAACCATTTATTCTTTTGAACCCATCATGTGAATGCATATATTAAAAGGGTTGTTATTCTCTTTAGAGATCTTAAGTTCAAATAACTATAACTTGTTGCGTAATACGATTATCAAATAGAACAAAATCGCAACTGATAATATGAGGAAATAAAAATGAAGATAAAGAAGATACAAATTTTACGTGAAAAACCCTAAATAATATAGGGTAAAAACCACGAGCAACATTAGAAGAATTTCACTATGAGAAAATAGGAATTACAACTTCTCTCGATCTAACAAAGAGAAAACAATAATAGTTCTCTCTTGAAAAAAAATGAGAAAACAACTATCAAGAAAACTCTCTTAATTCTCTAGTATTGGGAGAAAGCTAGAATGATTGAGATGATTTTGAAGCTAAATGGGTTAAGGTATTTATAGTTGAAGCTTAAGAACTAATCTTGTAAATATCCTAAAGTACAAAGACTAAATGTACAATTTTTTCTTATCACTTTTCAACCATTATTGGTGTCAACTATAAACCATTATTGTTGTCAACTTTCAATCACCTAAAGTTTTGCCAACTTTCAATCACCTAAAGTTTGGCCATTAATTTCAACAAATTGACCACTTGATGACCACTTACTTTTTAACATAATTATCATATGATGTGATTAAATCTAAAATCTCTAAAAATTTGAGATAACAATCATCTCTTTAACTATTAAATAATTTAGTTTGTGCAAAATGAGCTATAATTTAAGATATAAATAAAATATTGTAAATGATAAATCATTTATTGAACTTCTTTCTATAGTTTGGAATACTCATCATCTTCCACGTATCTCAAGTTTCTTTTCTAAAAAGATTACCCAAAACCATACGAACATTAGAAATATCAACCTCACAAATGAAATTCTTCTGGGAAAATTTCTGTCACATCAAGGCAGAACTGCAGAAGCCAACGTTTGTTTCTCCACTCAATTTCTGGGATCAGTGTTCTATCACCATGTTCCAAAGGTCTCCAACATTCATTTCTGTCCATATGATGATGTCGGAACAAAAATTGAGAGAGAAATTTAAGAATTATTGATGGGAAATTGTTGGTTATAATGATCATAGATATTTTTCTTTTAATTTAGACGAAAAACTAAAATCGATGGTTTTACATAGTGTGGTATATTGAGGACGATAAGTCATGCCTGAGCTAGAGAGGGAGTATGAGAGTTCTCTTTTTGTCAACTTTATATGATAGTTTATATGGTCCTTAGTGTTAGTATCAGACTTAGGACGATAATGACTTTTTATATACTGAAATTTGAAATAGATCTAACTGTTAAATAACAAATTTGACTACGACAAATTATATAAGTTTGTCTATCAAAGATTATGTAAAAAACTATAGAGGAGAAGAAAATATGGAGGGATATTTCTTATAAATCCACATGAGCCATGCAATAGTATCAAAGGAATATAAGCAAGACACGAAGGAAATTACATGAAAATTTGTAAGAAAGAGAGCCGATTGTTCAAATGAGTGGAGTAGAACAGCTTCAACCAAAGACTCGAGAATAACTTGTGACAGGTGCACATCACTTACCGAGCACAAAGTAGAATTTAAGGTAGCAAAAGAACATGATCATGAATCAGAGCAATGCCTTACTAGATATCTTATCTACCATGCTGCTTTAAACTAGCAGTACCTGATCAAGACTTTGCAGTGCCTCCAGACCAAGTGTGTATTTTTTTTTATCTCATTAAAGCCTCAAACAAATTTAAACAGGAAGAAAAGGTCAATTTCAAGAGAAAAAATTTCTTTTTAATAAAATTAACGACTTTTTGCATAAACATAATAATAATAAAAGTAATGTATTAATACCAAAATTTCTCTTGGATACCATTTTTTTTTGTTGTCCTTCTGGTTCTAAGGTTTCGCCTTGACTAATCCGGATCGACCCGTGTCACACACGTGGCTTTGATAGGTGAGTCTCCCAGCAGGGATTTTCTAAATACACAAGGTAAATCCGCACTGTCCATCAGACAACAAAAATCTTTCACAAAGATACGATAATAGCACGCAGAAACTGTCACTGATGCACAAGGATGCACAAAGCTCCATTAAATGAAAAGATCCGGCATGAGATTTAGCTAATCATCGATTAGCGAATACAACTGAACCCTCGCTGGATTTCTTTAATCAAATCTTACCTGCGAGTTCAATACTTGTCGGATGACTGATTTGTCTTCATCCAATGACTCAAAGAGACCTCCACCATATCAGTCGGCTCAAGGCCAGCTTTCTTTCGTAATTTTCGAATTCTATTAATAACTTACAATAAACTTAGTTACAATGTCCAATACATCAGAAATAACACATTTATTTACTCAGCGCATCTTTGCCAACATCATTCTTGGCTAAGAACATCAAACTAATGTAAAACTTTAAGCAATCCAGACTTATTCAAGAATGTACAGCACGGATAAGAGCCAAGTAAAAGAAACAGGTAGACAGTAGACACTAACCGATCACTTCAGTGTTTCAATTGATGCGTCAATATAAAAGACTAAACAAATGAGACACCAAACAATTTGAACAAATACAATATATTACATTTAGTAAAAAGCTATGCAGAACAACCCTGCACATGCCAGAATAAGTTGCCATACCTTAATGTCTGTCAGCTTCAAACAGTGTGTAGCAATAGTCACCTCTCCAGCTTTCTCAAAAGCTAGTACGCTGCAAGAATAATAGAGTAAGCAAACATAAGTTTTCAAACCTAGTTTGATACCCTCCCCTGCTCCTCACAATTGAATGGAGGAGCAGTGGAGAATAAAGCAGCGGACAAAATAACAAGTACCATACCTAAAATCAAGCTCTGCACAAACAGATGCATACTTCAAAGTGTCTTTACACGTAACAAGAGACCTTATATTGAGCTCCTTCAGCACATACTAGATAAAGAGAATATGGGGGAAAAGACGAGAAAAATCAGATGCAAGAAAAACATGGAAAGTATTGCCCAAGCACTAAATTTTAATTTCATGATCAGCACACCGAGAAAGGAGAAAGAAATAATTGGCAAGGGGGTCGAACAAAGTGGATAGCCTTTAAATAATACCATAATATTAGATAAATTCTAATTCTTACTGCCGTTAAGCTACAGGGAAATTTTGCATTCATTTGACACACTTTCTTGTTTCAACTTAAAGGATCATCTAATATAACTGCTGCATCATCTCCTTAGAATCCCAAACAAATTTGGAAACAACATGCAATCAACAAAATAAAATTTCTTTCCTTTTATTATATTTCCCTCTACAGTTTTTCCAATTTGATTCCCCCATCCCCCCCCCCAAAAAAAAAAATAAAAGAATTTGAATGCTTCATTGAAAACTTGAATAACTTTGTCTATAGGTAATGTCTGCCAATGAATAACAAAGAGAGAACAAGTAGAACAACAGGCATTTATTAAATTAAGAAAAAAGAACTAAAGTTTTCATATTGCCCATGCACCTCTCTTAATTTGCCAGCTATGTCCTCAAGAAAGTCTTCATCTGGATGAACAACTACCATCTCCCTAAATTATAAGAACGAATGGGTGAGAGAATGCAGAAAGACAAGAAACATATAAGTGAAATATCAACAAGAGAGCTTATAAGCAGACCTCAGAGGTGTTTTGAGAGGCTTGTTGTGACGCTCACGATTGTTGCGGGCAAGATCAATTATCTTCATCATCCTTGTCACACTTTCTTCAATTCGCTCCCCCCTCTTAAGACACCAATGACATTTGACTCGGTAAAATTTATAGTAGTATGATACAACTTTATAATTAAGAAAACAAACCATTAATGAACTATACAGACCAGACTATATTAGCATAATTACAACAAAAATGAACAATACCTTTCCTTCTTCCTGACGAAATCTACAATAATGGATGTTTTCCTCTGCTCCATCACTGACTTTTCGCATATTTTGATAAAGAACCTCAGTTAAGAAAGGTGTGAAGGGAGCCATCACCTTACATGAAGTTAGAAGCACCTAAAACCATCGTACAAGTTTCTAAGCATGTGAATAGTGATACGATCATTACTGAACGCATAATAGCAGATAAGAAGCAATAAGTCATCGCTAAGAAAATGAAACAATATTACATACATTATAAAGAGTGGAGAGTGCCATACGGCAGTCTTCCTCTCCAGTACGGCCTTTCAGTCTCTTACGGTTGAATCTCACATATATATTTGTGAGGTTGTCGAGAAACTTCAAAAGATATGGAACCACCAAAAAAAGTATACACATGCATAAATTCTTTTCAGTTTTACAGAGTGATATTATAGATGTACAACAAACTAGCGCATAACATCTATTGAAAGGTGTCTCAAATGTGTTATGGTAGTGGTATTCCCTAAATCTACATTGTAGCAATAATATAAGAAGCCGATTTAGTCTGTTTCAAAAAACCATAGAACCAGTACCACACATTTCTTAAATCTTAAAAATCCGGTATGCACCATCAATGTTGTTAAGCTGATGCCAACTCTGAATGCTAAAAAAGTGTGAAATCTATATCAAAACCTAGATATATGTTGCCAAAATTTCTAAATTGAGTTTGGTATTAAATTCAAGGTTTCTCATATTGATATATAGGCAAGAAAATTTCATGAGGTTATGTTGGTTTATAGACAGAACCTTATAAAGTCGATACGCATCCATTTCCTCTCGAACAAAGTGAACAAGACTTTGAGTTGAAGAGTTTATCCATTGATCAAGCACATTAGATGATTTTTGAAGAACAGTGACAGCAATAGGAACAAATGGGGCAGACCCTCATACTCGAGTCTTTTAGCATTCTGAACAAGAAACCTATACGCATTATACCATGGGAGGAAGACATCTTTGACCTGGGCAGATATCAAGATAAGGGATTAAGAAAATTCATGCCACAAATATGAAACAGAACACCAAAAAGTAAATATAAGGAAACAATAATGTGATAAAAAAATATCTTCTTAGAAGAAGAGCTGGTACGTAGCAAGAAATAAACAGAAAATACTCACAATGTCACAACCCCATTTTAAAATAAAAATAATAAAAAAGTACAAAAAAATTATAAAATTAATTTAGTTAATTTAGGAACTGAATTGCAATTTTTCAAATCTTGAAGTTCGATTTTGAATATGTAGGAAGTTCAGAGACTTAATCTTGAATTTTCTCTTTTTTGTTGTCAAAGAAAAAATTAAAATAAAATAGGTAAGAATATGGCTGAGGGGTTTCTAACTCATATCCCAGACATAGCCGCCTATCATCCTACCATTAGGTTGGGAACTGTTAATGATTTTTATTAAATATATATATTTTGAAGGCTTAAGACTAAGGTTATAATACCCAAACCCTAAATTCCCAAAATTTCCCCAACTCTAATCCCTCTAATCCCTAGTCGCTGTCACCCCTTCGTTGATTCCTCGCCGTTCGACCATCTTTGGACTGCATCGTCGCCAGTATTCGACTCACCATTGACCGACGACTAAAACCCCTCCAACCTCTCTCCGAAAATCGGCGTCATTCACCGTAAAAATTCATCCCAAAGCTACGCCCAAAACCCACCCCTATTGCTTCAATTTTTCATCTTTTTCAAACGACCCCGGTGTTTGTTCGCCACACTGCCACCACCATGAGACTCTTGATGTGCTGATCTACAAGACTAGAAAAGTTCACGTCAAACTGACGACCAGAGCTGCCGCACACACCGCTCCCTGCTCGTGGGTGTCGTCTGTCAACCAGGGGGTCTGTTGATCAACTGAATCAGTCTGAAACTAGTTTAAACTGGTTGGGTCGGTCTGGACCGAGTCGTTTGAGCTGAGTCGAGCCGAGCTATTGACCGAGCATTGATCGTCGTTGGCTATTTCTTAGAACAAATATCCTGATTTTTTTGACGTTTTGAGTTCGTTTTTAGGTCTGTTTCGCCAAATTCAAACCTAGTAAGTTGTTTTTCACTTATTAACCTCTCGATTCAATCTATTTTTCGCAATTAAGCTCTATTTCTGATGTAATATTTGTTGATATGTATCCGAGATATTATTGGATGTTGGATTCAAGTGTGAGAGCGATCGAATAGAGTTTGAATGTTCGACCAGTGTAGCTCGAGAATCAAGGTAATACTTTACTTCCCTATACATGCTTTACGATACATGTTGGTATTGCTAAGTGCATGGATAAATATGTTTCGTCTCATTTGTATAGTTAATTATTTCTAAACTCGATTCGAATACGGTGAAAAGTAAGTAACTGAATAAAACTCTGATGACTCGTATAAGAAATTAGAAGATTTATAAGGAACAATTCCAAGTTTTGTGATTAACCAGTGAAGCGTTTAACCTCATAACCTTTAAAATTTGATTACTCTTATTAATAATTGAAACACAGAAAATAACTAGATGAAAAATTATGAAATTACCCTTGAGTGGTAAAAATAGCCCGTATTGACCCTGAGAAAATACCCTGAGAATTCATATATAGTCAGATAAATTATTGATTTAACTGTTAAGTTCCTATTTTATTCGGAATATTTTTTATAAACAGTTTGTAACCTGAGAATGCACTAGACACAAAATTTCTAATTTACTAGAATTCACCTAGGACTAACTTATCGAAAGTACTCTTATTCTCAGAATTGTTCGAAATAACTTAAATAAATGACAAGTTTAAATTAAATGGAAAGACTGGACCGAAAAAAGGACTGAAATATCATTGAACTGTAAAATGACTAAAATACCCCTAAAGTGTGAAATGACTTAAAATACCCCAAGCCTTGGAATGACTGAATACCCTTAGGGTGCGTTTGGTTCACAGAATGTAAGATTACCAGTGGGAATAAAAGATTACCAGGGAATAGGATTACTGAGAATATTACATTACTTTGTTTGGTTAGTTGGTTTGGCAGGAATGTAAGATTACAGTGTTTGGTTGAAGGAATAAAAGATTACTGGAATGTATATTTTACCAAATTATCCTTGTTCTATATTTTTTAACAAGTGAAATTCTAAATATTTAAATAAAAATTATTTATATAAAAATTCATCGATAATATATTACTTGAGCATTTAAATATATAATTTATTATTTTAATTTTAATTAATATTAAATTTTACATAATTTATATAAAAATATATTAAAATTTTATATTAACACAAGGAGCGGATCAAAACTGAACATCATTATCTGGCCCGGGAGATCGTCAACATTATAGCATGCGAAGGGCTTGAAAGAGTGGAATGTCATGAACTTCTAGGAAAATGGAGATCAAGGTTTATTATGGTTGGCTTTACACCCTCTCCATTAAGCTCATTCGTCAACAATACCATCAAAACTTTGCTGCAAAGCTATTGTGACAAGTATACACTTGAAGAGAGAGATGATGTTCTTTATCTCGGCTGGATGAATCGAGCTATTGTCGCTTCCTGTGCATGGAGATGTTAACCGATTGATAACTGTTTTGACAGTGTTGATACAACCTTTATTTGGAAAAAAACATGGCAAAACACGAGATTAGAGCTTACTTGGTAACTATGTCATTTCTAGGGATGCAATGTAAACAAGGTGTTTTTATAATTAAATGTTAGTGATTAATTTCTAGTGGTTAACTGTTGCAGCTTGTCTTGTTTACGTGTTTTCCACTCTGTAATGTTAACATTACATAGTTATGGATATGTTCTTTTTTTATGGATATGATGCTAGCTGGTCCATTTGCCTGAAAACGTTCACATTTCAGTTAAAATCTATGACAAAACGCTCACATTCTTAAGATATGATAGAAAATATATATTGTATTTCTTACAAATTCCATTACAAGAACTTGTTTTACAAACACTTTCCTGTGAAAAATAAAATTGTATCCGTTCCACTTTTGTACAAACTCCCAAGTTTAATACAAATAGTGATTGGCAACGTTCATCTTAGACTGTGTTAATCAGGATTTTACTTCGACAGAAGTCATTTTTGTTACTGCACTCGAAACCGATTGCCATTCGATCGAGCAATTTACTTTCATGAGACTCGCAGATTGGTTCTCCTCGTGATAACCTTTTCCTTGCATTTATCCAGTACATTTCTGGTTGGTCTTGCAAGGAAGCTCCAATCACTTTAAGTGCCAATGGAAGTACTTTGCATTCATTAGCAATCTATCAAATCCAGAATTTGAAAAACATCAGCAAAGATAAAAGTCAGGTTAACTATATCAACTACTAATCCTTCAAAATCATTCTTAGTTAATTACATGTTTGATCAAAATTGCATTGCCAGTCGGAGGAATCGACTTTTGTCCAAAAGCAGAGTGACAAAACAGGGACATAGATTCATCTTCCCTCAACAACTCATCGACAGTGGAATCCACATATCTATTCAATGCATAAGGGCTTATAATCACTATAGTTGCAATTCACAAAGCTGGAGTATTGAACTGACATTATTCTCTGCAAATAAAATAAAGAACATTAGAAATCATAAAGAAATTAGATGATCGAGGATAGTTAAAAAATGGATGTTCAGAAGTCTGTAGCTCACACTAATAGTTTTCCTAAAATTCTTTGGATCCTCCTGGTCCTCAAACGGGTAAGCACCAACCAACATAACATAAAGAGTCACTCCACATGACCATACATCTGCCATATGAAAAAGGAATACAATCCTAAAATTAATCAGAAATAGAAAATGAGAAGACTTTATATCTATGCTTTGGAAAGACTTAAAAGAAATCCAGACCTCAGTTTCTCTTTGCCAAATATCTTAGGAGCTATTGCTTTCATGATCGTTAAAATGAAAACCTTCATGATAAAGTGCACTACTAGTAGATATCCAATCAATTGATAAATATTCTGAGCAATTGATCTTTAACCAAGCTTATAATCACCCTCAACAATTCTTAAAATATTATCAAGTAACATCTGACTATCTTTATTCTTTAGAACAGTAAGTTAAGGCATCAACTACTCCATCATAAAACTATTTAGCATAATAATACAATCATAACTGAAAAACCCTAGCCTCGTAAACAAGCCACTATCAACAATATTTGAACAAAAGTAGATAGAGAGTAAAGTACCTTGCCATCATATTCTCTCTGAGAAAGAACTTCAGGTGCAATATAAGCTGGAGTTATGGTTTAGAGTTTAGAACATCTATTCAATAGGCAAACACATGAATCGTATTATGGAAGTGGCTTGCACTTGGAGACGAAGCAAACACAGATCCAAAGAATTGGGAAAATTGATTCATAATTCGAAAATGATTATGGAAATCTAGGGGACTTACGGTT